AGGATAGGATTCACTTTTATGTCGCCTCTGAATGATGTTTATAAGAAGGTTCTTTCTTGTACAATTACACTCGGTGCCTTATCATTGCCCGAAAAAAGAGGACCGTTTAACGCTTTAGGCCCACTTCGGTACAGCCAGACGTACGAGAGAGCCGAAAATCTCGGATGCCCTAGGTCTTGTCGTGGCATCTTCCCAACATATATAGCTACAAAAAGCATTTAACAACCTTCATATGTCCTGATTTAACAGCACTCTGCAAGGCATGTCTTAATCTAGGGCACGTATCAAAAGCGTGGACAATGGCGAATGGCGTTTTCATGCCGAAGAGAGGCAGAGCCTTTTATGTGACTTTCAGCAGACCTATTCAGTGAAAACCGCCCCCCAAGGAACTAAAATTAGGTAACGCACTAGGCCACAAGGCCATTTCCTATGCCGATGCTACTATAATATTGAATATTGCGTCACCCACGACCCACGTTAGACTATAACCCCGCATTTCATTAAAAAGGAAATCTGTAATAAATTCAAAGCTACAGCACTTTTTACATACTTTCCAAAATCTGGTGATAAAGTAAAGATTATGTACCATGTATCTTAACTACCAGCGTAAGAAAAATGCAAAGGATGACTAATTCAATGCATGTGAGCTCTAAAATAAATCCACGAGTACAATCACTTTTGTTTCAGTAGCTGTAGGTGTGCTAAAGAAACTTTGCGCTCAGCGCGCCGAAATGGCGGCGCCAAACAAATTTAATAAATTTCAATAATTTCGCGGCTAAGGATAAGCGCCAAACACCTTCGAGTACATACAGAGATAAGTTGGAGTTTATGTATGTATATATATGTAATATGTAGCAATAACTGCAGATTTCCTTTTCTTTCAAGCAGCAAATTATCAGCGGTGGCAACGTGGAGCTAACAAATGCTGCCATCGTCATCGCCTTCGCCTTCGCCATCAACATTTACTGCCCTAACCTGTGCCACAAAGTAATAACTTCGAGTTGTTGCCTTGGCTGACTATTTGCTGTGGCTGTTGCTGTTGCTGTTGCTGTTGCTGCTGCAAATAAAGATAAATGTGCGCCAATGTGCCAACGTCAAGTTAGCTACTACCACACGATTTAGCTGCCAGAATCGAAGAAAAGAAGAGTAACAATGCCATTGCAGGCCACCACCACCGACGCCATCACGACCACCGCCAAACACTTGACGCCTCTCGACGACCTCTTTCGACTTCCAAACTTCCAGACAACATGCAACGCTGTGAAAATTCATTTAAGTGAGAATAGTAAGAGCAACAAAAACAGCTACAGCAACAAGTACTAGCTTTAGCAATTCTGGGTAAATATTTGTATCCTTTCTTGTGTGTGAATGTACATACATACATACATATGTAGGTGTGCGTGTGTGTGTGTAGCTGTGCGAGCATGTAGATTGGAAGCAGCAACTCGGAACAATCCATAAAATTTACAACCGACAGCACTCTTAGTCCAACAGTTGTTCTTTGTTGTTTCTATTGTTGCAGTTTTGCGTTGTTGGTGTTATTTGTTTTGCCTCTTCGACTGTTGCCGTCAGCACTGAGCACAACAAAAACAATAGCAATAAACTGCGTGCTAGTAGCAAGGACGTCACGGCCAGCCATGTACTGATGTAGGTTGGGACCAGTGTTGCCAGAACGTTTTGGACGAACCGGCTAAATTGGCAAATAAAACCGGCTAAAAACGGCTAAAATGTTTCAACTAAATTTCAGGTGTTTTATTTACATAAATCACGAGTAAAAAGACTATTTCTTGGAGAGAAGTTACAAATTCGAGCCGAAAAAATTTTGCCAGCAAGAATTTGCAATTAGGAAAAAACCATATGATTGTGGCACATGGTTGGATTTTTTGTCGACGATAATTTGAATAAACAAGTTCGTTAAATTTAAAAATTTACAAACTGGAGCGATTTTAAAATTAAAAATATAAGTTAATACTTGTTTACTTAATTAATTTAGATAATTCCAATGATTTGAAAGGTATTCGGCAAAAAAAAACTGTATTCTTAATCGGAATGCAATCTCAACCAGAGTCGATATAGTAAACCCGACAAAGAAATTGAAACGTATGTTGAAGAAAGTCGGACAAGATATATACACGCAGATTCTGTTTGTTGCCCCTCTGAAAGAATTTTAAAAACTCTATACACATTTCTTTTGTTTGAAATGCAACCGTGGACACTAGTTGGCAAAAAAACTTGCACATTTGCGTTCGTACAGAAAATTGCAAGTTTCTCTACATGAGAGAGAATTTGGGAGCATTTTTTCTTACTATCTGATATTTTGAGTGATAATTCTCGCTGGATTTTCGACGAACGAACCTATTGTCTTCCCTACAAGGCCTTTTCAGACTGACCGATTCTCAATACACTCAAATAGAAACCAATACACACAAAAAACGCTGTAAAAATTTCCCTTCAATTTTAAGGCAGTAAAACAACGACCTTAAGTTAACATCAATCGAGGCCATATGTTGACAAGGGATGCAAAATCACAGTTACACAAAAGAACTGGTCAGATTTTTCCCTTCTGATGTAACATATGATGCCAAAAGACTGCATATCTCCCATTTAGATGACCGGCAGATGTCTCGTAGGATTCCCAGAGAGTTTTGCTTTACACATAAATTTGTGCTCTTTTATTTTCATTTTGATTCACTTCAGTGTTGGTTCCTTTAATTCAAGTTGGCATTCGGGTTTTGGAATTTAAATAAATTCTCGGCAAAAAATTTTGTTTAAAGAAATACATATGGGCAAATCTAAAAAATAGGTACACTCTCCAAACAAAAAAAATTAATTTTTAAATTCGTGAGCACGCCTATGTTTTATATATCATTTTATTCGTATTCTCTTAATAAATCGAGATTTAGACGAGGAATAAACATGAAATAGAAAACAAAAGAATAAGCTGGGTTCAAATTACGTCGTCCAAGTTGTAAACTTTGAGCAAAGATTTTGAAAGTTGAACTCACTTAATTGGGACGTTCTAAATTGAATGGCATCCCCCGTTTTACCAGATTGGCTCCGGTTTTCGAGATAACGGTATTTGAAAATTTTATTAAAGTTTAGCTTTTATATAAATAACTCCCTCAGTTTTAAAGTTATTTTAATAAAATTTTGCACATGACGGTTTTTTAATATTACCTTAATTACTTTTTAAAATTATCGGAATCGGTGCACTTTAACGTATAGCTCCAATACAACTGATAACTCAGATATGTGTTTTTGCGCTATAACTCTAACTTCATACCTGAATAATAAAATGTATGCGTGCTATATGTTAAAGTGAACCTATAACAAATTTTTACCTGCTTAATTGGAGGAGTTATATAGCAAAACAACGTCTCTGGACAATCAGTTGGGAGCTAGATTTTAGAGTGAACCGATTTCGATGATATAGTGAAGGAAATGTTAAAATACAGGCGTGTGCAAAATTTTAGTAACATCTCTTCTAAACTGAGGGAGTTTTTTTATAAAATAGTTCATATTTAAGCAAAGTTTCAAGTACCGCTATCTCCAAAAGTGGAGACAATCGGGAAAAACTGGGGACGCCATTGAATTTAAAAGGCTCCAATTAACTAGGACCAACTATCAGAACCTTTGTCGAAAAAAATTGATTTGATACCACGCTCGAAATATTCTGACTACAAGAAGGAGCATACACACTTTTACACACTTCTAGAGAACATTTTTTTGAAGCATTTTACAGGTATATGCAACTATATAAGGACTAGTAGTTATACAAATATCTAGATCGTTTCGACTCATTTTCCAAATGTGCCTTCAATTAAGATATTTTTGGAATCAAAATTACGCTCAAGATTGCAGAATATTTTATCTTTAAAAGTTGGTTTATTCTGAAAGCACAGCTCTTGCTCAGGTATCAGATCGTTCGCAATTGTTTGTAGAATACAATACATACTTAAAAAGTTCTTAAAATTAAATGCTTCAAAAACTATGCGCGATAAACCGAAAATTTAGAAAATTGTGAAATGTGGAGTTACAGACTTTGAGTTACTTGCCATTTCGTAATTTTTTAATACACACTTTTCTTATCTACTACATATAAAATCTACACATAAGTGCTAAATGCCCATTAAATTTCAAATCAGAATATGGTGTGCTTCAAAAGTTATGACATAATTAATTTTGCCCCTCTTAAAAATTACATAAAAAATTCACTTGTTTTCACTATTTTTTTAAATTTAAACACCTATAATTCAAAAGTTATGCAGCAAATTGATCCACATTTTTGTTGAGGCTTCAAGTATACGTCAAGGAATTATATCCAAAAGCAACCAGCTTGATATAGTTTCCAACAGTGAAAATAAAGCTAAATAACACCAAGGTTACCTGTTTTTTAGATTTGCCCATATGTGTACATAGTGCTTGAAAATATCAATTTTTCCCTTACCTTAAACCTTTGGGAGTGGGCAAAAATTATGTTTTGTAATTTAGGCAGAATTGACTATCTGGGAACACCATATCTACATGTAATATTTATTCTGTTTGTTGGCGCTATATCCAAACACAAACGCATCTTAAGTGTCTTAACAGTGAAACAATTTCTTATTTTCTAAGTTTGCGAATAAAACTTCACACTTAAAATTAAGACATTTATAACAAACATTTTATGAAGAAAATCCCTTCTTCGTTTAAAATAAAAATAAGCGAAATCGGCCCAATTTCATACAACCCTGACTGACATGAAAATTTTCTCCACGATAAGACTATTGGCCATCTCTAACAGATTTTGGGTCGCTTAGTCAAAAATGGAAACATATATACATATTTGAAATTTAAGAAAACAAGGCAAATATCAAAATCGGCTAAAAACGGCTAATCTTTTTCTGCAAAACGGCTAACAAATCGGCTGCCGGCTAAATCGAAATTTCTCCGGCTGTTTGCTATCGCAACCGGCTAAATCTAGCCGGAAAACGGCTAAAATGGCAACACTGGTTGGGACAGCGGATTAAAAGAAAGCAAAGAGGACGTCAAGCCGTTGAGAAGTTATAGCGTACGGAGGAAGGGGCTATCTACATACATGTACATATGTATTTTGGGTGCTGCTGGTGTATACAGTCAAATGTTTATATGTCCTGCAGAAAAGGGAGGCAGTAATGTCAGCATGTCACTGAGCAAGTAAAAGAAGCATAGAAATAAAAACAAATCCAAAAGAAGAAATAAAAACATCAGCAACAGCAAGTACTTTCGACCTACGCAACAACTTATTTTTAGGCCAACGCAATCTGCTTCACCCATTACCACCGCCTACTACTCATGCAAGCTCGCACTTTTCTACCATGTAAGTACACATTACTTCCGGCTCCTCTGGGCTCGTCAGCCAGCTTCTAGCATTCCATGCATTTCTAGCAAATCTTTTGCTCTATTTTAGATACATATTTTAACCTCGTTGCCGCTATGCCAGCTTTGTGGATGACGTTTCAGTCTGCTATTGCCAACGCGCCTTCATCGACCAAAGTAGGTCCTAGTAGATCCTGTGCAGGCGGCTTGTATGTAGATAAATGTGCCGTTTATTTGAATTGTTGGTTTTACCACTCCTGCATCGTTTGGCTGGCATAGTTTTAAACAGTTCTTTACGCTCGGATAGACTGTCTGCAGTGTAAAAGTGCAATTTTCTCGGAGCCTGCCGCAGATTTGTATGCACATACATTTACAGTGAGGGAAATTTGCTAAGGCGCACACTATTTTAAATTTATTCCTACAGTAATTGAAATTCTAGACAAAGCCTCAAAACATGGGATGATGACCCTCCTCAAACGTGTTTTACCAGATCGATCAAAACAAAGAGAGATAACATACTTATTTAAGCAAAACATTGTTTAAGTTGGCCAAATCAAAGCTAAATCGTCATAAAAAATCGGTCGATATGATACTTCCACGCTGGTGGTGCATATGAGGATTTTAGCCCACTGTTCAATCCGTCTTTATCCCCAGATATCCCTCCAAAAGTATAAAAGAAACGATACATGACACTGCGAATCCAAGGAAGATCGCGTACGTACTAAACAGTGTCTAAGACAATAAAGACAGTACTTCAACGCTCACTTACACCCGGACATCTGCGATTCGCCTTACATACATACATCAGCGCAGCAAATCCAGCATACTACACGCTATTTCAAATGATCTCATTCTGAAGCAAGACTGACAGCGCGCATCTACACTAATACGGCGTTTCCACGCTTCGTAATTCGCTCTCCCATTTGTCATTCGCCTTGCCAATTACCTTCCGAATTACTTAATTCGCCATACAAAATTTTTAAAGCGAATTACCTCATTTGTAGGTAATTCAGAACGAATTACCATGCGAATGACGAACGAATCGGCGCCTTCTCTAATATTTATCGAAAATATATCGAAGTTTTCACCGGCCTGGTCCCATTTGCTGGCACTTTTTCTAGTTATAGAATAATATTAATAAAATATTCTCTATATAAATTAAAATTGTTGATAACTTAAATTTTAGCTCCATCTTCGATGTTTGCAGTACACAAAAATAATAATAAATAGCGAATAACAAGAACAAGAACTAGAGCTGCCAAACGAATTACTAATGTGTGCCGTGGAATAGGGTAATTCACGAATTACTTAGAGAGCGAATTACGAATTGTGGAAGCATCGTATAAAACGTTATTTGAGACTTCCTCTTCTACACCTTTTAAACCCAGTAATGAGAAAACGTTAGTTTATAATGATAAAATGAAAATTACAATGATAAAAAGTAAACTGATATTGAGAAAACGTAGATTTATAAAGATAAATGGTAAATTTATAAAGATAATACGTGCATACATATATAAGTAATGAGAACTGAGTCTCCTCCAATATTTGTCCTTCTGCCGTTATTCACCCACTCTCATGTTTTGCAACACAAGTGCGTGAAATGTTGTTGTGTGCTGCACAGCTCTTGCGCCTGATAGTCTTAGCTTGACGTCGCTTATTGTTTTCTTTTAATACCGGAGCCTCTGTTCACAGAATTAGCCATGGGTAATAGCGCAATTTTTATGGCGCTAGCTCAATAGCGCCGGCGCCGTCTGTGATGTCAGCGCACTAACTCGGTGCAGTGTACTGGTTTGAACACGGCGCCATCTGAGCATCACCGCTGTACCCATCGTCATACAGTGTCATACACAATACAGTTGTGTCATGTCTATTATTTCTTTATCTTTCGGCGCTAAACAAATGCGCTGTAAATGCCACGATATTTTCATCATTCTTGAGTAAAAGCTTTAAATTTGCCAAGGTACATAAGTTTCTGGCGTTCTCACCTCTCAAAAGCAAAAACAAACAATATGTTATTTTTCAAAGAATTAAGACGAATTGTGTGTGTGTTTCATGTGTTTCTTGGTGTTAATGATGCTAGCGCTTTTCATTTATTGGCGTTGGTGCGGCAACTCCGGCTACGGTGTTAACGCAATGGCGCCGCGCAGCGCAGTGTTACCCATGTCTACACAGAATCCTGTTCCACTCGTAATAGGCAGAGTTGTCTTCACCTCGGTTTTACACTTAGACCAAATAATCTCAAAAGAATTGAGCATAGACGAATACGGACGCAAACGTAAGACGGCCGACATACCATCAGAATGCTGGGCTACTGCAGTATTTATTATTGAGTGACAGGAAGCGTTATCGCACACAATTACCTACCAAGTCTCGCAAATTATTTCCCAAATGTTGCCACTTTTGTATGAGCTTCATATCATAATTCAATCACTGCAGCTGCTGTCTGTGAAGGCACATCTCCTTCGGTCAATTAGCGAAATACTTGATGCTGCAATGACACCTATAATGTGGACATCTGGTCCACGCGCTGTTTGTATTGCCCGCTGCCCTACTTTAGATCTTTCATGTTAAAGTCGACAAACAAATTGAAATTAGTCGCCTCAATCCAAACAATTTGCTTAACTTGCATAAAGGCATTCAGCTTCCGGACATATACTGCTCTTTTCTCTGTGTTTTTCTCGATGTTCATCATTGCAGGCGATGTGTGACCTGTTTTCACACTATAGCACATATGTATGTATATACCTTTAAGTTGGTTCCCAACAGTTGTGCTAAAGTCGACACCAAAAACCCTGAACAGCTTTTGTTTTAGTTGAACTAGGGTTAGTCCGCTATCCTTCTCCAGCCGTTCAACTATTTCTGATAAGTGCTCATTCAAAATTTTGTTTCGTTTGTCATTTGTTTTTTGTTTAATTGTAATGCTTCCGCTGCGAATCCATCGGTGTGCAGCTTTGTAATTAATGCCAAGGTTAAGAGCAAGCTTGACCCCGTTTTCTCCTAGTGTAGTAGCATTCGTCACCTTTTTCCTGTTTTGATCGAAATTTTTTATACATTTTCCTTTCGCGAATTTGTGTTCTTGGAAAAATTAAGATACATAATTACGTCATTATGTAGAAATGACAAGATAATTCGAAACACTCTCCAACAATATTATTTATAAATGTTCGCGTTAAAATTCTCGAAACTCTGCTATACTTCATATGGAAAAACAAAGAATTTTTTTGCACGCCTGCTTTCACAATTAGATGAAATTCAAATAATAAAAGTTCCAAACCTTAAACAGTAATCTTGATCACGTTATAAATCTACGTTTTCTCATTATTTACTATTTACGTATTCTCAATAGAATTTATGTTTTCTCAATACAATTTTATGTTTTCTAAATACAATTCATATTTTCTCATTATAAATCCTAAATCTTATTAAAGATCGATCTAGGGCCTATAGGTATTGGAAACGAAATCCTACAACTGAGCGCTGGAATAGTTATAAAAATCTCCGAAATAAAGTGGCTAAAGCAGTACGTAATAACAAGAAGAACTACTTGGAAACCAAGCTCAACACTAACTTGTCCCCTAAAGCATTGTGGAAAAATTTAAAAACATTAGGAGTCTATGCTAAGGACGCGCAAACATGTACGATTGATGCCGATGAAATGAATACTTATTTCATTACTGGTGCTGCCTTGTCAGATCCGTATCCTTTTACTACTAATGAAAGTTTAAATTATAAGCCGGCATACGAATTTTCATTCGATGTAGCTACGGAAGATGACGTCGCAAAATGCGTCTTTGCAATAAAATCAAATGCTACCGGCGTGGATGGAGTCAGTCTACGCTTTCTAAAACTAATTCTGCCTTATGTGCTGCCTACTCTTACACATATTTTCAATTATGCCTTAACCTCCTCTACCTTTCCCAAAGAATGGAAAATTGCAAATATTATTCCGATCCCTAAAAACTACTCAGCTGACTCTCCAAGGGACTTTAGACCCATTAGCATTTTACCAGCTCTAGCGAAAGTTTTCGAAAAATTAATTTCCACCCAAATAATTCACCACCTTGATAAGTACAGTCTCTTGAGCGAGTTCCAATCTGGTTTTTCTGGTTCCAACCACAGTTGTTCTACTGCCTTGTTAAAAGTTATGGAAGACATTCGTCCTGCTTTTGATAATAAGTTACTTACTATTTTAGTGCTCTTAGATTTTTCTAAAGCTTTTGATATGGTTAGACATGACATTCTTCTGTTAAAGCTGCAACATTATTTTGGTTTTAATTCAACGTCACTCAAATTAATGAGCAACTATCTCTCAAACAGATACCAACAAGTCCAATGCGGAGACATCTTTTCTTGTCGCAAAAAAATAACTTCTGGAGTACCTCAAGGCTCGATTCTAGGTCCCATTCTTTTTAGTGTTTTCGTAAACGATATTGTTTTCTGTTGCCAAAACTCATGTATTCATTTATATGCTGATGACACACAGATTTATTTCTCGCGTCCCATCGGTCTAGGGGAAGATTTAGTTTTTAGGTTAAATGAAGATCTTGGTAGAATAGTAAAGTGGGCCAAAACGAACGGTCTCAGTTTAAACGCTGCCAAAACGCAGGTACTGCCTATATCGTTTGATCCTCTTGATTTAAGAAGTTTGCCGTCATTAATGCTGGGCAATACGGAGTTGAATTTCCAATCCGTTGTAACGAATCTTGGTTTTAAAATGAATACACATTTAACTTGCACAGATCACATTAGCCATTGTATATCCAAGATATATTTGATTCTAAGGAATTTATGGCAAACGTGTAACTGCCTACCAACTAACATAAAACTTAAATTGGTACGGTCTCTTATTGTCCCCAACATTTCGTATTTCGAAATGGTTTATTGTAATCTGGACAGTGAATCCAAGAACAAATTAAATATGGCCTCAAATAATACAGCCAGATTTATTTACGGTAAAAGAAAGTATGACCACATTTCAGAGTTCACAAAAAGCATCTTAGGCTCGAACTTGGAGAGCTATCTGAAGATTCGTAACATCTTATTTTAGTATAAGTTAATTAGATACCGACAACCATGCTATCTTTACCGAAAACTGAACCTGGTTCAATCGTCTCGCACCCATAATTTTATTGTACCTAGGTATAAAACTTTAACAGCGTCTAGATTGTTTTTTGTTAGTGTTGTCAGAATCTGGAACTCCTTACCAACCTCAATTAAATGTATAACAATGTTTGGATGCTTCAAAGCGGCAGTTACAAGTCTTTTTAAGTAAAATCCTTCTACCTTCCCTAAAACTCCTCTCCTAAAATATTATCTTTATCTATTATATATATATATATGCTTTTTTTTTTGCACAACTATTACTTATAATTAAATATTGTTGTTACCATCACAATATTTTTCTGTACTTTATCTAATTAGATTTTAGTTGAAGTTAATTTTGTAATTTTTTTTGGATTATTTGTACATTGAAAAGACCTCGCGTTTTACTGTACTCAAGAAGTTAATAAATTGAATTGAATTGAATTGAATTGAATTATAAATTTTCGTTTTCCCATTAGGAAGCTATGTAGGTGTTATGTCCTTGTCTCTTACAAATCTAGGCTACACACTAAGATCATACAAGTCTATGGAAATCAAGGCTGAAAACCTCTCCGCCCTGATGTGTCTTGTCCTTAAAATAGCCCTTTTCGACTGAGTTTGGATATGACTGAAGAATGATAGAATTAAAGATTGCGCTAATCGAGCTGAGAGCAACCGGGTGTGATGTCACAAAAGTGAGAGAAAGGGAGAGCAAAAAAAAATTCTAAATCAAAATTTGAGAGGATACAGTGATGAAAAAGTTGGTAAAATAAACAATAGTTAAAACGTAGTTTTGGCTTGACCCGAAAAAGTTCCTTTCAAAGCTATAATAGCAAAGATTGATCTGAGTCCAAAAGTAGATATGGTAAGGAAGGTGGTCCAACCACTTTCAAAAATAAGTATATACACATAAAAGTACATGTTTACTTTTTAGGTAATACATTTGGGTAAAATGTTTTCGCTAAAGAACTATGTACATTTTGAAATTTTAATTTTCATCCATAGTGCGATAAAGAATTTCATGACGTCAGCGAATAGGTGGAGACTGTTATATCGACGATGAGAGGGTTAGCGACACGAGCCCCCTAGATAGAACATCAAAGGATGCTGTTGGATGAGCTCTCAGTAGGGATAAATCGATATCATCAAGGTATTACTCAAATCAGTACTTGTACTTGTATCAAACAAGGTATCGATAATTACTCAGTATCAGAAAGGTTCATAGAACTACGAATTTGCATATTTTTCAAAATTATTGTATTTTTTCACAAAAAATATGCAATTTTAAAAGATTATTTATCTTTTAAAATTTTTTCATACTAAAATATAGGACAATTATTTTTGTATATGTTTTGGATGTAGTCCCAAAGTTCCCAGGGCTAAGATTTTGCCTACGCATGCCAGCGCTTTTATTTTCGTGAGTGTCAAATTGTTTTTGCTCACTTTGGGGACGTGGTTAAATAAATTTCGCGTAGTGTACATAGTTGTCGCCTCGCCTGCAGCAGTTATCAGAGTTACATAAGTATGTATGTGAGTCTAAGTACATATAAGTATGTACATATGTACATATATATCTACATATGACCACCTACAAATAAACATAAGTATGTACATCCTTTCCTCGGCTAGCTCGCATTACAGATCCCTACTGAAATCCTTCAATTCTACCACACAATCGCCCTGATCGCCTCTTTTTGTGTGTTCTAGCCATGTACATATTTTCCCTCCTTCCTGCCATCGACCTTCTCCATGCTAACGCTTGGCAGCAGCGCACAAGCAGTCTGTCTGCTTAGAGACTATCAATATTTCATGAATTTCCTATGTAACCTACTTTTTTGTTTGTTTTCTCTTCTTCTTTTAATTCTTTTTTGTTGTTCTTCCTGGCACTGCTGGCGTTACTCACAACTCTACTTATAGTTTTATTAAGTTGACAAAATGAGATTTGATCTGTCAGTTGTTGAACATCAGCAATTGCTTTGGAATCTAAATGTGAGTATCTTATAAAAAGTATTTGGGAGAATAAAAAGATTCACATACATATGTATGTATACACATGGAAAAAAGAAGATAAGAATGAAAATTCCAAAATTCCACTTATGCTACCTTAACTTACCTCGTAAATTTCCACCGTTACACTTACCTCTGAACCGGCACCTCGTTTGTGGATGGCATTGTTTTGATGTGAGTCACTCTGTTGGCACACACAAATATACATACATATGTACATATTTACATCCAGTACATTTATGTAAGTCCACTACAGTTCATCAGTTCATAATGGCAGTGAGCATTTCTCGCGCAGATCAATCACGTTTCGTCACGCTACAACCAAAATGAGAAACAATAAAGAAAGATAAAATGAGTATGTACAACACATTGTACATAAATACATATATAACTTTGTATGCGCCTTTGTCTGTCCGTAAGTCTTTGTACACACTTACTGGTTTGTGTTTTAAATAGCGAGAAATCTGGAGATAAGAAAATTATCGCCCAGAAAAATAACCAGTTTTAACGAGAGATTAAAAAGGAAAACAACAGTAAATTTATTACAACCGAGATATTTATGTATGTAAGTATGTACATATTCTTAAGTACATATTTAAAACAATACAGCTTAAATTTGTATAATGGGATGTTTTAACACACTTTGTGTATTTGCGGTGCATTTTTTATTGTATGTATGTATAAGACATTGAAGCAATCAGAGAGCCGCAACAAGGTCCTCAATTCGCTGGCCGGCAGCATCTGGGGCAAAGACAAAGAAACGTTTTTGGCAACATGCAAGCCAACTGGTCGACCGGTTCTAGATTATGCAGCGCCCGTGCGGTCGCCGGGGAGTAGCAGGACGCAGTGGACGAGGCTACACACTTGTCAGAACACGGTACTCCGGACAGAGACTGGATGCCTTCTAATGTCGCCTCAACACCACTTGCGCGACGAGGCCCAAATGCTCTCAATTAAGGAGCATAATGTAATGCTCTGCAAGCAGTTCCTAGTAGACGCGGGCACTCGAACAGACAACTGCTTGCAGAAGAGCCCTCGCCAGGAAACGTCAGGAGGCATCTTTACGAACCGACGGACGAAGTCCAGAGGTTAATTAAACAACCTATGGATCCAACTGCATACCGACAGGCCTTAAATGGCATTCACAGGGAGTCGGTCTCGAGTTACACAGGCTCTCGACCTGTGAATGCAGTTTTGGGCGCACAACCGTCCGACCAGGCCGGGACTGAACTTTGTCTGCCTCAGGAGATGCGCACCACAATAGCCCAACTTCGCTCTGGCTATTGCAGCAGTTTAAACTCGTGCCTGAGCAGATTGTTCTTTATGGCTTTAAATATCCAATTTGAAGTCGGAGTGATTACGGATTACGCTGTTGGAACTTTTGAAGACTCGTCAAAAAAACAGAAATTTTACACAGTTGTAACTAAGGTAATAAAATTCGTCTTAAAGATCAACGGCACGGTGTGACTTATTTAAGCACATATTTTAGCATAGATTTAGATTTTCCAACACTCGCACGACAATATTATGACGAATTGTGTAAGCAAACTGACGTGCGTCGTCAATTTAATGCGTTGAACTTTAGTTGCTGTGCGAACTCTTCAAACTTGTTCCCTTAATTTTATTGCCTAACGCTTTCATATGCCCTAATCTAAAAACTAGAAGATATTCTACTTTACTTAAGTTTAAGTGATTATCAAAGACCGCACTATACTCGCATGTCTCCCCAATTGCTGTACCCTCAATTACCATACATGCCACATGTTTGCATTTGTGTGTGGGAGTGTGTGTGTACAAACAACTTAAATACTCAGCTGAAACCGAAACTGAAATGAACTCAATTCAGCAATAGTAATAGCAACAACAACAATTAAATGCAGCAAACAATGAGACAAAAGGACAGAAGTCACATGCAACTTAACGTGTCAGGCGACAGCGCAATAACATGCACCAAAAAGGCAGTCAACTCAGGTTGTGTGGCAAGGCAACTGAGCTGAGCAGGCGGAATCGGTAGTTGGAACGCCGAGTAGTAGGTAGCCAACAGGAGGCAGCTTACAGCTTGCAGCAGGCAGGAGCCACAACCCAGCCAGCGAGCCAGCGAGCCGTCACAGCCTTTAGCTCCTGTATTGCGCGCCAGCAGTGGCATACAGCTGCAGCTGCTGCGCCAAACCACCATCGTACAAGTGACTCGTTTGTTGCGCCGGCTGGATGCTCAGATGCCCCCATGGCCATACGTATGAATGATAAAGTCGTGTGGAAGTGGAAGCACTGTATGAGCATATGGATGTGTGCTTCGTTGCATTCATACAGAACTTACGCTTGGTATGCCCTTTTCTGCTGTGTGTGTGTTTCCCTATACACTCCTGCTCTTGCCTTTTCTACTACATTCCTCCTCCTTCAGCACTCTTTCAACACTCGGCGGCGCTGCTGCTTTTGTAGCATTCTACCGGGCACTTATGCAGCCGTGGCAGCAACACATTTCAACACTTTCAGTGCCGCATTTTGCCCCCCAGCAAGCAAGACAAGCGCTTGTGGCAGCAACAACAACAATAACTAGAGGAATGGAAGTTGGAGCAAAATGTATGCGTGAGGGCAAGTTGTTAGCGCGGGTGTCGCAGAATTGAAATTTAGATAAGCAACAGACCCAACAAGCTGAGGTGAGCTGCGGTGGGGTGAGTGGAATTAGGTTGTGGCTCGAATTGAAGTGGTGGTGTGGCAACGGTAATGGTAGCGGCAATGCACTCACTCACATGTTGCCACAAAATATTTACTTTTAAAGTGTGTGCAGAGAATGTTTGTACACATGATCGTGCTTACATAAATACATACATATGAGCCGGGCATTCATGCCACATAATGGCAGCGAGTCTGCCAGCAGGCAACTTATTCATGTTGGCATCTTCTTATGCACATCTTTTATGAACATAGCCGCTTACCCTCCAGCTCAGATGCAATACCTCCATGGTTATATACATATGTACGTGCTTTCACAGGCTGTCTCACACATTTAGATAGTATTTTGTGTTTAAACTATTTCTTGTTGGTCTTCGGTCTTTCAGCTGCGCTTGCCCATCTGTTTACCAGCTTTTTGTCGGTGTGTTTGTAAGCATATATGTTTGTGTGCATCTACAAGATACAAATATCTACTCATCTGCGCTTCTTACAGTTGCATTTGTGGCTGGCTACTTCAGTTTCTTCCGTCGCTTCTGTTGCCTGTCCGCCAGCATGCTCAGGTAAAATGACACTTGACTGCTGCAACAAACTTTGAGTCTGCTGTTTTTGACACTAACGTCTTCACCGCTAATGCAATGCGGCAATGTGTTTTTGAGCTGATGAATGTGTCAACAATGTGTAATTGCTAGTAACTTATGCATTGCGTAGTCCATGCCCCAAGATCTAATTGCACTTCCCATTGTGTGTTGGCATTTAACAACTTGGGCGATCCACCTGGGACCGCGCTTGGTAAACTTGGATACGAAATGGAATGAACCCGCCACAAACAGGTATTCAAATGCAGAACCGAGCAGTTACCATAATATATTATATTAGTTATAATATATTTAATATCGAAAAGTAATGTGTCCACCTCTGAAGAAAGCAGTCCTTAACTTCCATCGAAACGTATTGACCCGGTTTGGTTAAAGTAAGGAGGGCGTTCGTAATGGTTTTCAAAAGGTCCCATGGCACTTTTTGGCGCCACAGACGGACCCGCATACAGAAGAGAATGTATTGGCCTCTATCGAATGTTGGTTAACGGTAAGAGAAACATCCTTATTTCCTTCTTTCTCAGATACCAATTATCCAGCACAGTTTTCTAAGCGAGTGTGTATTCCCAGCAAGATTCGCTAAGCATGTTCATAGATTCGGCCGCTGCAGCGTAGTAGTTAGAGCTGATACTACCCCTTGCTAGTAGCCAGGTTCGTGCAACACCTAAAAAAATGTTTACCCCTCGGGTAAACTCTTCACATAAAAAAACAAATGCGGCAAAAAACTTTCGGTTATTCTATTTGCCTAACAACATAAAGACGCGTTGCCCATTTTCGAGTAATTGTGACTGCTTCAATACCTACTTTAAAATTTCAACCATGGCGAGCGATTCGTAGTATGGCCACTGTGAATTTCACGTGAAAGCCCGCATTCTTCATGAATTTATTGTAATCCTACATTACTAGTTACAAAGTTACTTTTTCTACACTTCGAGAGTGGAACGGATATAAGTATATTCCCTCTCTTGCAAGTTTGTTAGCATTTTCGTTGTCTGGCATGGTTCAGTGTTCTGACACCCACACCAAGTTGACAGCAAACTGCTCAGCCATCTTGTTTAGGGATCTACGGCAGTCTGTTACGGTTTTTAATTTTTAGTCTGCTACGCTTGCGAGTCAGGGGCTTTCAGTGCTGCCTGAATGTCTCAGTAGATGACGCTCTTACATGATGCCTCTCATATTAATAAGTGTATAACCACGTAGTGGTTGGGTTGGCTAAATGATTTTCCAGGTCTAACTGCGCAAAGAAGACATAACCCCCACCCTGTTATCTAGTTTTGAACCCTCAGTGCAGAAAGGAGTGATCAATTTTCTCTAGGAGCTTTCCTAACGAAAGTTCTCTATTTGGAATAGATATCTTATACGTCTTTGTAAATTTAGCCTTTGTGTGGCCACTTGGATTCACTCGAAGTCAGATAATTTCCGCAACTTTGGAGAGGTACATCCCGTGAATTGTTTTCCAATAATCTCAATTGGCAAAATGTTGAGTAGAAGTCCCACTGATGCCGAATACAAAACACGCATTTCCAAGGACATGCGTTAGGTTTATGACATCTCATGACAAATTTATGGGCAACTGCAATGTCGTAAACTAACAGTTAATCGCTTTCCTTTCAACACAAAACAGGACAAAGGACCGTCACTTCCTAATCTACAAGTCAATTCAAAATGACAGCCATTACTCTCGTGGCTGGAGTTGTAGCAAGAGTTTACACTTGCAACGAACAATACAACGCTGATACCAATGGGATTGCCCAGAAATATGTACCCATTCTACGACACCAGACATTGCGAATAGGGTAAATCGAAGCTATGTTGAGACAAACTCACGCCTTACCAAATCTCTCATCGGCCAAGGATGTATTGCGGTAAAAGCTAGAAGAATTGTA